ATATATATACATCATTAAGCTCATGAGAAGAGAACCCCAATCCTATTCTCACGTGAAACACGCCTCTCTCTCTAGATCTCATTCGAGCTTTATCTTCTTCTTGTTGCTCCACTGGTACAAGTTGAAGAAGGGTGTATTGAGTAATACAGTGGAAGATCTGTAGGTAAAACGAGACGAAATATATTTTGACCTACAGAACTAACCGGAAGTCCGAACCCAGACGACCGTCTCGACGAGGGCTTTCCATCGCCGCAGACGTCGCCGGAATCCAACGCCGGACGCGCCCTCACGCACCGCCGGAAGCTCCCAGGCTGCAAGTTTCGTTTTTATCTGTTTGCATCCGTTTGATCCGATTTTGATCTGATCTTGTTCGTGCAACCCAAGATGTGATTTGCGGTCAATCAATTGCGGTCAACCGTTCGTGGTCAGACAGATCTACATAAATTTTAAGTCGTAAGTTCTCTACGTCAAACCTTTAAATCCGCTGCGCATATGTTTACGTTTGCTATTGAATTCGTGATTTGTACATAACGAGATCCTCACAGATCCCAACACGGATGTGGGATCGCAACAGGATAATAAGTTCACACCTGGGTTCACATAGACCAAATGGTCCAAACCAAAAACACAAGCACAGAAACAAAGAGAACAAGCCGAAAGAAAAGATCCTAAGCTATCAACAACAAAGCCCACCCCAAGCGGGGTAACCAAACCCAACACAAGGCGCCAACGAAATAACGACTAACCAACCCACAGCTTGATCCAGAATCCGGAACGCCACTCCCGCCACTGCCTAAAGCCTAGCAAAGGACGAGTCCCGAACCTCAGACCATTCCAAGGATGAAGTCGACCCGCAGCCAGAGGAGTGTCGACCAGCCCCCCCGCACCAGACCAGCTACCCGAGACCCGGCCTACACCACTGGCCAAGGTCTGGGCACGCCGCCGTCCCACATCCCCAGCATCAACGGAATAGGGACCCGGGGGAGAAAATCGAATCACCTCAGCCCCCGACCCCCGTGACTCAGACAAGCCGAGCAACCAGGGCCGCACCCAACCCCCCACCACGCAACGCCAGTCAGCAATCGGACACGAATCAGAGAAGATGCCGTCGAGCCCGCCATCAACAACCGCAACAGAGACGGAGCTGACCAAGCAGACCGGGAAACCACGTCGGAGCCGAGAAGACCTGAGGGAAGCACGATAGGAGGCTGGCCGTGCAGCTATGGGCCATTCGCCGGAAAAGGGAGCGGATTCCCGCCGGGGAATGCACGCAGCAGCAAAGAGGCGACGAGAAGCGAGCGAGAGGGTTTTGGGGATTGAGGGGCTAGGTTTTCGGCGAAGAAGAACTTTTTAATTCCCCGTGGTCTTTTTTAAAATTTAGTTACAAAATTAGCAGTTGAATTGCAGTAAAAAAAAAATATATATTTAAAATATTCACCCTGTTAGTTGGATACTAAATTTAATAAATGGAATCTAATTATTTTCAATCCGATTTTTTTTGTACATCGTAACACTCAAAATTCGAATGGATAGTGACAAAATTCAAATCAATACATCATTTGATTTTACTTGTTTTCGGTAGATTTTTAATAATAATAATATAATATTCTTGGTGCGACAATTATTAGAACATTATATGATGCTATTTTTAGTTACAGATGATGCTACTTTTAATATCATAGGATGCTATTTTTTATACAAATATTAGATTATATATATATATATATATATATATAGGGTTAGGATCATATGAGAATGGTAGATAGTGAAAGAAATAAGAATAAATCTGTACCATTGATCTCAATATATTGATGGACATGATCAAGTCAACTTTTATTATGGGTGAGTCAATCATTAATCGCAATATCGCATATACTTGTACTTAGCATGGTCAAATTTACACACTTGCCCACTTAACAGGGATAAAAAGGACATCTCACAAATAAAGTGGACCCCACCACTATCTCTAACAAACCCGTCTTCCTCACATATACACACACCTGCACACAAACTATTTACACATACACACACTGGCCCGGCAGGCTCTCGCCACCCAGCGCCGTCAGATCTTCGAAGCGCCGCCGCCCGGAATTCTAAGCGCCGCCTTCCGACCGACAAAGCGTCGCCGCCGATCATCAATACTCCGCCGAGCGGCATTCAAACCGACGCCGCCCGACCATCGAAGCACCGCCGTCTCTAGCATTTCCGACGACATCATCCACGCATCCGACGGATCACCTACCAGCCGGCCGCCCGTCAACAAACCCGCCACCACCGCCGCCACCACAGTCGCGGCTTGTCGCCGCCATCAGATCCTTCCGGCACATCGCTATAGCCACCACCAATTCCCCAACAGCACGGCCATCACCTTACAAAATCGATCTGCCACCACTGCCACAACCACTCCATCCTGCAACTCGGAGAAAGTCGCCGATCCACGGCGGCCCGAATTTCCCTATCTTTCTCTGGTGGCACTAGGATAGTGACGGCGATCTGGCCGATTACGGTAGCCGCCGGCGACAACGACCAATCAGAGTTTGACCTGTGTGTGTGAGTGTGTGTGTGTGTGTCGGACCTGCGTGTGTTCGTGTGTGTTTTGTGTGTGAGAGAGAGTGTGTTTGTGTGTGTTTTGTGTGTGAAAGATGGAGGATGGTGATGTGTGGTTGGGCCCACGTATGCTTATGGGATATGGGTTTGTAGCTGGTGCCCGGTGGTATAGATAGGAGAAATAATTGCCATTTCTTTTTCCATTTTTTCATATTCCCATTTTTCAATTTTTTCAGTTTGATTTGTGCAATCCCACATTCATTAGTTGCAATTTATTAGCACTATTGTGCAATAGCAATACATAATAATAATAATAATAATAATAATAATAATAATAATAATAATAATAATAATAATAATAATAATAATTTTATACTTTAAAAAAGTATAATATAACAAATACTTTAAAAGTAAAAATAAATAATCAAAACGGAAAATTTTGTTTGAGGGGTCATGTCGCTATTGTGTAATATGCTATTCATTTAATGTGCAATTCGTGTAACAATATTGTGCACGATCTCGATCGCTATTGTGCAACCTCACCAACTTAACTTTTGTTCCAACGAAATTAAAACCGAAACTAATTAAATGGCTTATTCGGTCGGTTAGTCGAACTAATCAAATAACTAAAATAATATATTATTTATAATAGAAAATTGTATGTAGTATTTTAACATTTCTTTTTATTGAGAAAAATAATATTTTTTTATATATAGACATAACAAAAAATACTATTTTTTTCATATAGGTCGGTTGGTTCGGATATTTCAGCTATTTTAAAAAATAAAGCAGGCATTGCATTAAAATAACTGAGATTTTAAAGGTAAAAATAGATAATCAAACTGAAATTTATAGATAGTACTTTTGGTTGTAAAGATCTAAACGAATAAATAACAAAATAATATATTTTTATAATGTTCGATCAGTTCGGTTATTTTGAAAAATAAAGCTGACATCGAACCAAAATAACCAAAATTTTAAAAGTAAAACATATAATCGAACCAAAGTATATTATCGAACCCAAACACTTAGTTTGTCAGGTTCACCCGATATAGTGCAATTTGGTAGCCATTAATGTGCAATTCATTTAACCCAATTGTGCAATCGTTGTGCATGAACTTTTTATGAATTGCCCCAGCCCACAACTAAAGCCAAACAAAATTGTCGATTTATTTGTTCGGATGACCGAGTTAACATAAATAACCAAAATATTTTATATTTTAGATTTCAAAAATATATTGATTACTTTAATATTTTATTTAATATTCTATATTACATTCGGTTGTAAAAATCTACAATATTTAAATAACAAAATAATATTTTTTTTATATAGTTTGATTGGTTCATTTATTTTAAAAAATAAAGCTGCCATCGAACTAAAATAACGAAATATTTATAAGTAAAATGGATAATGGATCCAAAATATATTTTTTGGACCCAAAAACTTAGTTTGTTGGTTTCGGTCACTATAGTGTAATTTGACAGTCACTAATGTGCGATCCGTGAATCACTAATGTGCACTCAAGACGCTACGTGAACGAAACAATAATGGTGCTAATGTGCATTCGGTATAATAATACTGTGCAATCTGATATACAATAATGTGCATCTTGATTAACAATACTGTGCAATATACATTATGAGTTTTTTATGTGCAAATTAAAACTAAAACGGAATTGAAATAATTGGTTTGTTCAGTTGGTTAACCGAATTAACCTAAACAATCGAAATAATTTATTATTTATATTATAAGAACTTTATTTATAAATTCAATATTTTTTATTATTATATATTATGTTATATGATTTTAATATATTATTTAATATCTTAATATACATATATATATATAATAGTATGTTTTTTACTATTTTTTAATAGATAGAAGTGTACATTGAATTAACCTAAATAATTAAAATATTTTATTATTAACTATTATAAAAGTATATTTAGCATTCTAATATTTTTTATATATTTTTTATTTTTTTTTGTCAAAAAATATATTTTATATTTTAAAATTTATTTAGTATTCAATATTTTTATTTATTATTTTTACATTTTTTATTGTTTTTATATAAAAATGTATTTATTTTTAAATATATATGTAAACCAAAATATATGAAACAATCATATTTTATAAATTTTTAATAATTACAGATTTGACCTGTGGGTTCAATTGAAATATTATTCAAATTTATAAAATAGCACTTAAGTCCTTGAAACACTTCTATTTCTCAAAATACACCTAACCTAATTTGCATCTAAATCCTTCATACTTGTCAAATTCTTCAAAGAATGTCCCTAATCCAATCTCAAATTTTCCGTCCAGCATCACTGCCTCTGTCAATCGGCGGTCTCACTGTCACCGGCGCCTGAAACCGCGCTGCTTCCGGCATGCCCTGCCGCACCGTCGTGGTGATGAAGTGGAAAGAGCATTTTTTTTTTTTATTTCTCCATTAATGTTCGAATTTGAAGTTCGATTTCCTGGCGCCGTAGGCTAGTCTTGGACGGCGACGGAACGTCAGGAGGATGCCGGCGATTGGCGTGGTCTGGTGTGGTTGTCGGCTCCCAATTGCGTGTTGGTGTGTGAAATAAAGTTGCAGTCGGTGGAAGACCGGCGGCGGGTGGCGGACCGACGACGGCCGACGGTACCTGCAACTGTGCGTGTTCAGTATAGCCGACGGTATGGCGTTGAGTTTCGGGCGGCACCGATCGGCGCCGGAGAACGGGGTGCCCGCCATGTGGATCTCGGAGAACATGGTGTGTGTGCTGCGGGATGCCGGTGGCCTAAATTTTTGGGTGAGTTTTGTTTATTCTGGTCGGCAGTGGCGGCGGTTTCCGGTGGTTGCGGTGTTGGTCGGTGGGTTGGCCGGCGACGGTACCATTGAGATCAGGTTTCACGGCGACGGTACCAACTGTTTGTTTGTGTGTGTTAGTTAGTGAGAGAGAGAGGTATAGTGACGTGCTGGTGTAGTGTGAGGGTCCCACGATTTTTTTGTTGTGTAATTGGGTCTGGTATAATTACTTATGTACCCTTAATGAGTGTGATAATTTGGTATTTTATTATCCGTTAGATTGTTCGATCTAATGGTTATGATGTATTCTTATTTCTTTCATTGAGAACCATTCTCACCGGAGCGCGACCCTATATATATATATATATATATATATATATATATATATATATTTATATTAATAACAGCAAGAAATATAATTAAAAAATAGCATTATACACAACTAAAATTAGCAATTTTTTTTTTGTTGGGGGTTTTTTACAATAAAACTTAGTTTTTATCCGACTACATCATAAGTTGTATTCCTAATGTATATTTTTTTTATGTTAAAAGAGTTTTAATAAGTTAGCATAAAAATGAATGAGATTGCAATGCAGACAATAATAAACAACATTATAAACGAGGAACAATAGCATTACAATTCACTAAAATAACAATAATTTTTTCTAATAATAGTAATAATAATTTATAGCAATGTCAAATAAGATTGATAGCATCACAATGAGCTGAAAATAACATCACAGTTTTTGTAGTATATCAGTTTATTCTAATGAATGTGAGCTTCCTTCTAAGAACTGATATAAAATCCTTAAAATATGGAGTTGCAACTAATGTAGGATTCTTAAGAATTTGAGTTTCCTATATTACTTTTACTACTTACCATCATATAGTTTTATCCTTAAAATTGCTAATATTATGAATAAATATGGACAATTGATTATGGTGCAATGAAGGCTGAGGATTGGTTCTTAGTGTTGGAATCTGTGAGGATCTCGTGATATACAAGTCACGAATTCAATAGCAAACGTAAACCTATGCGCAACGGATCTAAATGTTTGACGTGGAGAACTTACGGCTTAAAATTTATGTAGATCTGGTTGACCACGAACGGTTGACCGCAATTAATGACCGCAAATCACGTCTTGGGTTGCACTAACAAGATCAGATCAAAATCGGATCAAACGGATGCAAACAGATCAAAACAAAACTTTGCAGCCTGGGAGCTTCCGACGGCGCGTGAGGGCGCGTGAGGCGTCAGACGGCTGCGATCTCGGCGGCGATGGAAAGCTCTCGTCCAGACAGTCGTCTAGGTATGTTGTACGTCTCAATCAGACTTCCGGTTAGTTCTGTAGGTCAAAATATGTTTCGTTTCGGTTTACCTACAGATCTTCTACTGTATTACTCAATACACCCTTCTTCTACTTGTACCAGTGGAGCAACAAAAAGAAGATAGATCTCGAATGAGATCTAGAGAGAGAGAGAGGCGTGGGGCGTGTCTCACGTTAAAATAGGATTCTCTTCTATTCTCATGAGCTTAATGATGTATATATAGAGCTACAGTAGGGACCCTTAGGAGATTAGGAAAAGGGCTCCTTAATTAATTAGATTAACTGTGGGCCAAGTCCACTCCTCGAATTAATTAAATAATATTAATGGGCCACCAACATTATCTTATTGTACTCCCTCTTCCTAGCCCAAATTACATTTGAGACTCCAATAATAATTACTCGATTTACCTCCTCACGTTTAAGATATAATGTCCATTAATTAATTCGATTATTGACAATCAGTAATTAATTAATTTTGAATAACATATTTGTCGCGCACCATCGTATTTTAAAGCAAAATCGTATACATTTAAAATAGTCATGGAAAATAGTAGTAAATAGAGGAAAAGTGAAAAATTGTTCGACGTCTCCGAAAAAGCATGGTTTTGAACAGGACACTATCATTTGATGTGAATAACATATTTGTCGCGCACCATCGTGTTTTGAAGCAAAATCGTATACATTTAAAATAGTCATGGAAAATAGTAGTAAATAGAGAAAAAGTGAAAATTGTTCGACGTCTTCGGAAAAGCATGGTTTCGAACAGAACACTATCATTTGATGTGAATAACATATTTGTCTCGCACCATCGTGTTTTGAAGCAAAATCGTATACATTTAGAATAGCCATGGAAAATAGTAGTTAATAGAGGCAAAAGTGAAAAATAGTTCGACGTCTCCGGAAAAGCATTGGTTTCGAACAAGACACTATCATTTGATGTGAATAACATATTTGTCGCGCACCATCGTGTTTTGAAGCATAATCATATACATTTAGAATTGCCATGAAAAATAGTAGTAAATAGAGGCAAAAGCGAAAAATTATTCGACGTCTCCGGAAAAGCATGGTTTCGAACAGGACACTATCATTTGATGTGAATAACATATTTGTCGAGCACCATCGTGTTTTGAAGCAAAATC